ACACTAAACTTGATGTTTAGACCAATGACATACTTGACACTAAACTTCCACATAAACATATGACTGTTTAGACCAATGACATACTTGACACTAAACTTGCCACATAGACATATGACTGTTTAGACCAATGACATACTCGACACTAAACTTGATGTTTAGACCAATGACATACTTGACACTAAACTTGATGTTTAGACCAATGACATACTTGACACTAAACTTGATGTTTAGACCAATGACATACTTGACACTAAACTTGATGTTTAGACCAATGACATACTTGACACTAAACTTGATGTTTAGACCAATGACATACTTGACACTAAACTTGATGTTTAGACCAATGACATACTTGACACTAAACTTGATGTTTAGACCAATGACATACTTGACACTAAACTTGATGTTTAGACCAATGACATACTTGACACTAAACTTGCCACATAAACATACGACTGTTTAGACCAATGACATACTTGACACTAAACTTGATGTTTAGACCAATGACATACTTGACACTAAACTTGCCACATAAACATACGACTGTTTAGACCAATGACATACTTGACACTAAACTTGCCACATAAACATATGACTGTTTAGACCAATGACATACTCGACACTAAACTTGCCACATAAACATACGACTGTTTAGACCAATGACATACTTGTCTCCTAGAGATGAAGAAAAAAGTAGTTCAGGGCCCGATACTCCAGCCAAGTTAAGGGAAGCAACTCTTTGATTTAGCTGTTTTGGCTGCTCGGTAATAACTTGGGTTCGTTACCTCCCTTTGGGGGATAAGTGATTTATGACGTCATGATTTGCTAGCTTAAGTGTGTGTGTGTGTTGGTGGGGGTGCTTAGACGTCGTCACTAATGAGCATTATGACATTTGGGCGTTCTTCACCTTTGAAACTCGGATGTTGGGAAGTCCTCTATGTGTACATAGAGTGTCATCTTCAGCTGAATGTCTTGTTCAAATGGTGGCAATTTTCTTCCCACGTGACCGTGATGTCACGAGGGTGGTTTGTTGGGGGGGGGGGGGGGGGGAGAGGAGAGATTAGATACAGAGAGTGGCGCCCAGCTAGAGGGGCCCATAGCTAGAGGGGCCCATAGCTAGAGGTGCCCATAGCTAGAGGGGCCCATAGCTAGAGGGGCCCATAGCTAGAGGTGCCCATAGCTAGAGGTGCCCAGCTAGAGGTGCCCATAGCTAGAGGCGCCCAGCTAGAGGTGCCCATAGCTAGAGGTGCCCATAGCTAGAGGTGCCCATAGCTAGAGGTGCCCAGCTAGAGGTGCCCAGCTAGAGGTGCCCAGCTAGAGGTGCCCATAGCTAGAGGTGCCCAGCGTACCTCTCCTCACCCACCTCACATAGTGCGTACCTCTCCTCACCCACCTCATATAGTGCATACCTCTCTTCACCCACCTCACATAGTGCGTACCTCTCCTCACCCACCTCACATAGTGCGTACCTCTCCTCACCCACCTCATATAGTGCATACCTCTCTTCACCCACCTCACATAGTGCGTACCTCTCCTCACCCACCTCACATAGTGCGTACCTCTCCTCACCCACCTCACATAGTGCGTACCTCTCCTCGCTAGTGTATTTCGCTTCAAGCGCCCAGAACGCCGCTAACAGTTTATGAAATACTCTCCACCATCTCGCTTCTTTAAAAACTTTCATCATAAATTATTGGAACAACAAACACCGAGTTTTGTCACATTAAGGAACTCATATCTGTAGATGGAATAACTTGATTACTTGATGACATTAAAACTCACGTCCGAATATAGCGATAAAATTTACTTTTGACGACCCGTGCAAGATTTTATCAAGTTTACCTGGACCCAGGACAGACAGGCACTCTGGACAGGTGAGAAAGTGCTGACACTCTGGGAATCAGCACGAGCAGACGACGAGTGGATAACTTCCGCCTCTGAGTGGGTTCTGAGCTCTCGTGATGTCTCGCGACTTATCCATATCCGGGGATGCGCGCGCATCTGCAGACAGCAGCCTTCTTTAGCGAGAAAAACAACACACAAAGTTGGTAAACAGATTCAACGAAAGTACAGCCAAGTCCAATTGAAAGGGAAATAAAAAGTTCAACTTTTAAAAATCGAAATAAAATATAGGTTCGATCTTCAATTAATCTAGTTAACAACTAGACTCTAATCTGAAATAAATTCAGAAATAAATTTAAAAACTGAATCACAATGTTATAAAATTTGAAAATACTATGAACTCTAAATAATTTTTTTTTATTGCTAAAATATATTTTACTATATTTACATCAACCCAACATTTTGACCTGAAGTTACACTTAAGTAATGCACCAAAGATTGTAAGTTTTATCTCTGTAAACCCATCTTTTTGCTCAACTTTTTCTGCGAAATGTTTGTGATTGACGTCAGCTTTTGAAGACAAAGGAAAGACTGTCAGGGCATGTTTGTTTACATTTCCAGGAGTAAATGAGAAAACAAATATTTTTGTCTTTTTACAAATTTTCTTTAGTTGCCGAAAATTGTAAAAGCATCAAATCAGTCATTGAAAAAAAAAAGAAAGAAACGGGTACAAAAATCACAGTCAACTTTTTATAACCACCTTGAGTTTTACTCAAACAGCACGCGATTTTTTAAAATATCATAAAATCATCTGGAGTACTCCCCGTGGGGTCATTCAGGGGCGGATGTAGGGTAGAGGGTGGGGCGAATCTGAGTGAAAAGGCCTTACACACACACACGCACACACACACACCCACACACACGCACTCACACACACACACACACGCACATGCACACGCACGCACGCACACATAATGACATACACACACACACACACACACACACACACACATATATATATATATATATATATATATATATATATATATATATATATATATATATATATATATATATATATAAACACACTTGTACACACCTGTACGTCGAGACGTATGTCATGACGTATGCTCGCGACGAGCCAATACAAAAAAATTACAGATTTACATGACATAAAATTGACCAATGAAATATAGTTGATGGTCAATTTTTATGTGGTCCTTCGTAACATAAAAAAATTCCAACAGAAGTTTATCCTCTGTTTTAGTTTTATATCCGTTCATATAAACTTATAGCAGCCGTCTAGCTATAACTTGACCGGCTAGTTAATTACTTAAACATAATGTCAAACTGGTTCAGGCTCTATTTTATATCGTGTCAAATTTGAGATAATGAACATCTACATTACAATTCCCGTGACGCTTAATTTTAATGAGTTATTTTAATTTTACAAAAGTGTGTGTAATTAAACCCAGAATAATTTCTTAATTTAATTATTTAATACTTGATTGGACAAATGAACTAAATTTGTCGATTTAATATTATGATTTTTAATAATTTAGGTAGGTGGGGGGGGGGGGGGGGCCTCGTATTTGCAAGTAGTGTAAAAAAATTTCCATCCTTTACTCACCCTTTCGTCAGCGCACGTTTTTAAAAAAAAAAGTTATTGGCAATAAAATTCAACTTGATATTTTGATTTGGTTTTGATTTGGCTTCTCAACGCTTACCTGGCGAGTCTAACATCGCACTCTCAAGTTTATCTGGCCATTAAATGTTACTCTATCTGCCTGCTGTGTCCAATGTCTGTCTGGGGTTTTCATCCGAAAGTTTTTATTTCTTTTAGATGGAGGGCAGACACTGCACGTGGGACTATGTAACACGTGACTCCCGTCGGCTGTCTGGAGGGGAGGGGGGGGGGGGCGGGATGCTGGTGAGGGGGTGAGGTGGGGGGGGGGGGGGTAAAAACCAGGAGCCCAAGCCGCCTGAGCTGAGTTCTGGATCGTTATTTAAACCAGAAGACGATTTTTAAAAAGTTAATGAAACAAAAAGTCGATTTTTAAATATGTAACAAAATGTCGATTTTTAAATATGTAACAAAATGTCGATTTTTAAATATGTAACAATATGTCGAATTTTAAAATGTACATTACCCAAAATGCCGTCCAAAAAAATCATGTAGCCTAACGACGATTTTATTTGTTAAAGTCTTTTATTGTAATCAAAGCTATTTCTCTCGCACTCTCTGGCAAAAATAAATGTTAATGTGGCTGTAACATGGGAGAGAACCTTTACATTTGTATCTGTGATCGTAGAGTCAGATCAAGCGAAAACCTGACCACTAAAACAGACCTGCTATATGATAAAATACCCAGCCAAAAGACCTGCTCTCTGATAAAAGACCCTGCCAAAAGACCTGCTCTCTGATAAAAGACCCTGCCAAAAGACCTGCTCCTTAATGAGTAGCGGTGTTTACAAGCTTTTTCCGTTCATCTTTTGTAAAGATTAAAATAATTTGAGTTTTTTTTAATAAGAATCCGTCTGATGCTAACTCCACCCTCTGACTCACCATCATTCTACCCTCACACCCTTACTCACCCCACCGTCATAACCTCACACCCACACCAAACTTTCCACAACCTCACACTAACCATACTAGCCCTATCACTCCCCCTACCCCACCATCACACCCACCATCAACCCACCCTAACCCATCACCACGGCTACCCCACCACCATCCCACTCCCACCCCCACCCCTACCCTACCCCACCATCACCCCACCCCTACCCCACCCCTACCCCACCCCTACCCCACCCCACCTCTACCCCACCATCAATCCACCACCCCACCCCCACCACCACCCCACCCCCACCACCACCCCACCCCCACCCCCTACCCCACCATCACACCCACCATCACGCTCTCTGTTGTTAAGTTTTGAATTTTGCTTGTTAGTTTCTAACAATTATTTTAAAATATTTTAAAATCAATATAAACACGAGTAATGTCATCGATTACTTTTCACGTAATCGATAAGTATAGAAAGTAGTATGTGATAAAAGAACATAGCAATCGATAACTTCTAACAAAGTCCTCTCGGCTTACCATCTGAAAGAACTTTCGATCCTAAAGCGATCATAGCATTTCCATTTCACTGCGCATGTCAGGAATATACAGCAGAGTTGTAGCCCTTGGTGAGTATTCGTCTTTGTTCTCATAGTTTGGTGTTAACATAATACACATACACATATAAACACATACATATATATGGTCGCACAGATATGGTAACACATACACATTCTTATTGACTTAGATACGTACAAACATACTGACATACAAGCGTACTGACATAAAGATATTCAAACATACAGACATACACACACACACAAACTTACAAACTTATAGATATACAAACATACAGACAATAACCGTCTTTGTCAACGTTTTTGACCCTTGTTTTGTCACACACACACACACACACATACACACATACACACTCAGTCACACAAATATGTACACACACACACACATATATATACACTCTCAAGAGTGTGTACGAGTGTGTGTACATGCATACACACACTCGTACACACTCTTGCACATATACACACACATGTATATATATATATATATATATATATATATATATATATATATATATATATATATATATATACATATATATACATATATATATATATATACATATACATATACATATACATATACAACATATACATGCACACACTCAGTCACACTATCTACACACACACACTCACACACACATTCATACACACTCGCACACACTCTTGCACATATATACACACACTCACACACACATATATATACATACACACATACACATACATACATACATACACACTCACAGTTCTCCGCCGCCATTGTGTGACGACCAAACCAACAATTGCAGACCCGTCTCATTTCTCTTGAGCTTGCTCTTTCATTCTCCCGGCTCGCTTAGGAAAAGGATTCTCAAACTACTTTTCCCTAGACCCCTATGCCAATCAAAACCACACACCCGGGATCCCGTTAATAAAACCCCAAACATTAAACTCTACAAACAATAGTTTACTTTTTTCCAAATATTTTTGTTAACGTAGGGATGTCTAATAAATTACGGGACCCCCGAGCAGTGTGTTCCTTGACCGACAAAATGAGAACCCCTGGTGTAAAGACTGTAGATTGTAGTACACAATGAACCTTCGCTCCATCCGACACAAGGACACAACAACACCATCAATCGATACCGCGCTACACAGATCAAAGATAAAGGACAATTTGTAAATATTTAAAGGTGATTCTAGTTGTCGCCTGCTGACCATAACGCCGGAGTACCTTTGTTAAATTTGTAGCACCAACGGCTGGGGTTATTTATGTATGTTGTCATAGCTACCACTACAGCTAATTATGTTAATTACTTTGGCGCCTACGCACTTGGAGTATTGTTGTCTAAGAATGAAACACTGACATTATAAGACTGACCCTTGGCAGCGGTCAGTTTATGACTCGTATTCACGTGTGAGGTATAGATGACGTAGTGGGGCGTGGCAGTGTTTGACGTCAGCAGGAAATTATATTTTTGTGTCGTTTTCAAGGGTAATAAGAATTATTGTTTAATTATAAGTTAAATATTGAAAATGAGAAACGTATTTAAATATTCCTAAACAATAAGTTGATATATTTTAAATGCAGTAATATCAATACTAATTAGTGATTAAATACCTTCGTCTCGTAGATTAATGAACTTTATGCGCTTACAAGTTAAGGTTAGTATTTAAGTATTTGTGGCTATTTGCTGGAATCTTAACCGAAATCTTCACCTCACCCTTGACCCCGGCCATCGCGTGCACCCAAATGTTGACCCGGAAGCTAACAGCTGTAGAGAAGATTGGACACGTCACCCTATTGTTCTGCAAGCCTCACCAAACCACTCTTGCCTGTTGTTGAAGTTGTAGAACATTTTTTCTCTTCTCTGTGACGTCCGCGACAATATCCAAGTAATTCTGTGCCACATTTGACGTTTAAAACATGGCCGCTAGGTGGGGCCAAACTGGATGGGAAGTTAACCACGTGATCAGGTCTTAGATGAGACCAATTAAATGACATGTGTTTGACCCACTGGTCAATGTGGACGTCCTGGTCCTACCTATACGAGAGCTAGGACCAGGACACTGATCAATTCTTCTCCCCCCCCCCCCCCCCACGTTATCTGCCCCAGCCGGTGGAGATGATAAGGTAGCTAAACAACCGGAAATCGATAGGGTTCGGTCACGTGACGTTCTAATTACAGTTCTTGCATGGTGTGTGTGGGGGGAAGGGGGGGGGAGATGTATAGATGGGGGGGGGGGGGGGACGGGCCTGAGGTCACTTGGACTCTAACTGTGGTAACGATTAGGATTAGGATTACGACTTTGGGGAAACGTATAGATCAACCTACTACCTGAATTTAGCAGCAATCTCTCCATTTCTTTTTTTTCTCTCTCTCTCTCTCTCTATGTATCCTTGTGTGTGCGTGTGTGAACTCGATTAACCTTAAATATAGTATATCCCATACTATGTGTGTGTGTGTGCGTGCGTGTGTGTATATCTCTGTGAGCATGTATGTGTGAACTTAATTAACCGAACGACACCTCATTTCCCCTCCCGCCCGCCATGTTTACAGAAGATAAACTCAAGCTGACCAGCTGACCAATGGCCATCGACTCCTGCGGTCACGTGCCCTGTCCGTCACGTGATCGGCATGTAAATTGAGTCATAAGCCGAAGATCACCTCCTTTACCGGACCGACAACCTCCGGCTGCCGGTTGAAGTGAGACCGGCACCGGCCAGCTGGCGCGAGAAATTACCGGCTGATCTAGTCACGTGGGCTGTACTCATCCTTTTGATTGGTTGCTACTTTTCTGGAATATTCGTCAATTTCTTTTTTATTCAAGTTTCAGTTCGTTTTATCTTTTATATTTCTATCCAATCAATATTACGTTAATTTGTTCAAGAAGATAAAAGTTCATCCCAATAAAAAACTGTTTTGATGGCTTAAATTTAATGTACCGAAATTACTCAAATAATTTGAAAGTTTTGTCACAATGCACATGAAAAGAGCGAGCGGCTTTATCGAAATATCAAAGAGAAGAAAGTGTTTTGTTTTGTCGTAGTTTGATATTCGTGTTTTTGTTGTCGTACTGGAGTGTTTACTTGTTGAACTAAGTCGTGTACACAGACCACGGCCTGTGGTCCAAGGCGGCCCACTCTAGTGGTTATAACTACAGCCGGAACAAGGCGGCCCGCTGTAGTGGTTATAACTACAGCCGGAACAAGGCGGCCCGCTGTAGTGGTTATAACTACAGCCGGAACAAGGCGGCCCGCTGTAGTGGTTATAACTACAGCCGGAACAAGGCGGCCCGCTGTAGTGGTTATAACTACAGCCGGAACAAGGCGGCCCGCTGTAGTGGTTATAACTACAGCCGGAACAAGGCGGCCCGCTGTAGTGGTTATAACTACAGCCGGAACAAGGCGGCCCGCTGTAGTGGTTATAACTACAGCCGGAACAAGGCGGCCCGCTGTAGTGGTTATAACTACAGCCGGAACAAGGCGGCCCGCTGTAGTGGTTATAACTACAGCCGGAACAAGGCGGCCCGCTGTAGTGGTTATAACTACAGCCGGAACAAGGCGGCCCGCTGTAGTGGTTATAACTACAGCCGGAACAAGGCGGCCCGCTGTAGTGGTTATAACTACAGCCGGAACAAGGCGGCCCGCTGTAGTGGTTATAACTACAGCCGGAACAAGGCGGCCCGCTGTAGTGGTTATAACTACAGCCGGAACAAGGCGGCCCGCTGTAGTGGTTATAACTACAGCCGGAACAAGGCGGCCCGCTGTAGTGGTTATAACTACAGCCGGAACAAGGCGGCCCGCTGTAGTGGTTATAACTACAGCCGGAACAAGGCGGCCCGCTGTAGTGGTTATAACTACAGCCGGAACAAGGCGGCCCGCTGTAGTGGTTATAACTACAGCCGGAACAAGGCGGCCCGCTGTAGTGGTTATAACTACAGCCGGAACAAGGCGGCCCGCTGTAGTGGTTATAACTACAGCCGGAACAAGGCGGCCCGCTGTAGTGGTTATAACTACGGCCGGAATACACGAGATGCTGTTATTACTGTTAAAAGGAAGTGAGGCGCAATTGAATGGAGTTGCTCAGTCGACGACAAGTACCCAGCATACAATTTGTTAGAATGTTATGACTGTCCCATATAAGGAATACATAAACATACACGTTCATACATTAGTTTAGATATCGCACAAATACATGCAAGCAAACACACGCACACAAGCACAAACACACATACACACTTATAGATATTCTTATCGAATGTCCACACAGGTTCAGTGCGTTTTAAAGTAATTCAGTTAAAACCCTGTTATCTATTTTTATTCCTTGGGTTTTTTTTTGTGTAATGTTTATTTTTTGTTTTTAACTAATTTTCTTTTTTACATACATATTTTTTTATTTTTCTCGTCATCTGCCTGATTAATTTCTTCATATTCTCGGAATTTGAAAATCTGTCAAGCATAGTATAACTTATTAAGAATTTATAACATTGTTGGGGCCTAAAAACACATTGACGCTGAGATGAGCGTGTCCTGTACATTCCCAGCGATTGTGTGCTGGCCCTATACTCAATGGGAAGTAGATCAAAAGATTAAGATTACCACACATCGCTGTATGGAAACTAGTTTGCGCGAGACACCAAAAACTTGCATTAACAAATAGAAATCAAATGCTTCTCTGTACTAAAGTATGCTACATCGTGAAACAAAGCAGTATATTAATGAAATAGCAATTTCTAGGTTACCGATTAATTTTTATAATCAAACTCAGTATCAAGTTAAAGCTAAACAGATGTTACTTTTAATTACATGTTTAATTAAAAAAAAGACGTTTCTTACATATTTATAGAACTGGAAAAACTGTACAAAACTTCATAAATTTGATCTGCAAAAATCCATAAAACTCTATCAGAAAAGATAAGTTTATACTCTGAGTGAAAGTAATTAAAAAATTACGTAACTTGCCAGTTTTTTTAAAAATGTTTTGACGACTTATGTTGCCAGGTAGAGCTATTAAATCTTGGCAACAAAACTTAAAACCTAGAGACGCCCGTACTCTAATTATGTGTCGTAACATTAACCTGACCGATTCGCACCTTCATAATTTAATCCACTCCTCGTCTAATATTTGCTAGAAAAAAATCTCCGGACCCCTAAAAAAATGTTATAATCAAATTCTCGTCAAATCTCGCGACCAGCAGACTCTCTCGTCCCCTCGATCTGTTCTGACAAGTCGGCCATGATGCATAACTAAAACGAGGCCGTCTCGTTTACATTTCATGATTCGATAATAAGAGGAGCTGCTGAAGCACAAGAATTGATGACGTCATCGAGATGAATTTTTTTTCTCTCTCTTCATCGACGTGGGGCTAATGAACTGTGAATCAAAAAGTTGGGACGTGAAATATGTTGTGAAATATTGAGGTGCGGGGAATCTCGTAATTAGCCGGGAACACGTTCTTACTCTCTGGTTTTCGAGGTATCGGAGGAGGTATTGTAATCGTGTGAGACATCGGTATCGAGATTTACGTGTGACACATTCATGAGTGGGGAAACGTGTCTGTCTGTGTGTCTGTCTGTGTGTCAGTCTGTGTGTCTGTCTGTGTTTCTGTCTGTGTGTCTGTCTGTGTGTCTTTCTGTGTGTCTGTGTGTACAAACACCAGGGTTTCTTTCAGGCATCTCTTCCCCCCCCCCCACGCCCCCCCCCCCCCACCTCTCAAACACATCCACCGCCGCAACAACGAGGCTGTAACCCCACCAAACCTAGCATTGCCACCAGAACGAGGCTGTAACACCATCATCTCTAACACCACCACCACCAGAACGAGGCTGTAACACCACCAAATCTAACACCACCAAATCTAACACCACCACCAGAACGAGGCTGTAACCCCACCAAACCTAGCATTGCCACCAGAACGAGGCTGTAACACCATCCTCTCTAACACCACCACCAGAACGAGGCTGTAACACCACCAAATCTAACACCACCAAATCTAACACCACCACCAGAACGAGGCTGTAACACCACCAAATCTAACACCACCAAATCTAACGCCAACACCCGAACGAGGCTGTAACACCTTCATCTCTAACACCACCACCAGAACGAGGCTGTAACACCACCAAATCTAACACCACCACCCGAACGAGGCTGTATATTACTTCTCGCCTTACTCTCTCATTAATCAGACAAAAGATAAACGCATGGACGTCGGTATTTGCATAATCGTATGCACGTGCGGTCGCTTAACATACTCACGTTCACCGGCTTGGCGCCGTTAGTTGGGTGATATCTCTAAATATAAAGTTATGGCGGGCTACCACGTGACGGAGCGCTCCATAACAATTGGTCGTTGTTTGAGGCGGTCTGACCAGTGGTCACTTGATTAGATGGTCTAGATCCATTGGTCGTTGTCTGAGGCGGTCTGACCAGTGGTCACTTGATTAGGGGGTTTAGAGCCATTGGTCGTTATTTGAGGCGGTTATGACCAGTGGTCACGTGATTATATGGTCTAGGTCCATTGGTCGTTGTCTGAGGCAGGTTTGACCAGCACTATGCAGCAAAGAATATTTCACTTTATTTTTATACCTACTACAAATGCCATAAAGACGTTTTGACCAAAATGGCTGCATGCTCGAGCACTTATATTTTTTGTTTCGCTGTCGGCATTCGGCGAATCGGCATTTACAAATCTGTATTCGACTAATCGGTATCACATGTAAACAATACAAGTAGATATCAATATATATCCTACTTGATATTCCATCTTTACTCATGCCCTCTCTCTCTGCCCCCCCCCCCTCTCTCTCTGTCTCTCTCTGCCCCCCCCCCTCTCTCTCTCTCTCTCTCCTCCATCTCTCTCCCATCTCCTCATGTGACTTAACATGAACAGATATATTTCAGGAACGACAAAGAATCCTTCACACAATCTTTTAACCTGAGACCTCAAAGATACTTGCCCTCAGAATATTCACTTTGTCCGTGAACACATTTAACATTGAACTTTTCTGCTATTTTGTGGTCATTTTGTTTTTAGCTAATAAATAACAACAGAGAACATGCGAAGCTTACAGCAATACTGACACTTGCTGGAAGATTCCAGAAATACTGACACTTGCTGGAAGATTCCAGAAATACTGACACTTGCTGGAAGATTCCAGAAATACCGAATTTCGTTAAAAATTCCAGAAAGATTGCTTTTTGTTTGAAAATTCCAGAAAGATTGAAAGATTCAAGAAAAATGACACGTGCTAAAAGCCTACTGAAGTAACTTAAAAGCTTCAAGTTATAAATTGTTTTTTACAGTTGCCGTTGTAATATCACGCGGCAACAAACACGCCAGACCACAAACTGCCCAAACAAACTCACAGACCTCTTGACTTTGATTACTTTTCTGCGATCAAGTTTTATTTCGTTTCGTCAGACAGACAAGCGGGCGTTTCAGGTCTTTGAATATAATTTTTTTTTCTAGAATAAATGAATAAAGTTTTTGCAGTAAATGTGCGTGCATTGAGCTGAAAATGTTGGACTAGCACTCTAAGTCTAGCAGGAAAATAGTGACCTTGATTTGCCGGGTCAGCTGTGGTAATGTATTTTTAGGAAATGAACGGATTTTCCCGATCCGACGTAAAGTAGAACTATGAGGTTTGTTGCGTCCGCGCTAGTGAGATGGAATTTTTTAAAACTTACCAGCAACACCGGGACATTTTTCCCCGGCTGAAAAGTTCATGACGTCATCACGCACCCGAGAATGATGAGATGAGTCTCGGATGAGAAATTTATCAGCCGTTTTTTTTTTCTAGATCTCGTTTCACGACCAGGGTCATCTGGGGTTATTGTGGGCCCCGTCAAAAACAAGTCTAGATGTTTGAATGGTCTATTTTCTCTGTAGCACTTTCTCTCACTGTAGCACTTTCTCCCACATTTCTGTGTAGCACTTTCTCCTACAATATTCTCAGTGGTGAGTCAAGGTTATATCAAACCTAACAGCAGATAGTTTAAAGTTTCGATTATGTGGATTAAAAAAAAAGATTGATGATGTAAATATTAACCCTCTCCTCTTTAGCCCCGCCACAAACGCTCCGTCCCCACCCCTACCCACCCCAACCCAGTTCTCCTGATACTGCAATACGTCAATTTTCTTCAAACCACCCCCCCCCCCTCCATATTGTTATTTTCAACGTGAGAAATACGGTTTGCTTTCTGTTGTATACACCATTAATGTCGCTTACTGATCAATCTTAACCCAAGTCTCGCATAATATCGTCTGCAACCCAAATCTCGTAGATTCTCGCATGCAACTAAATTCTCGCCGACATTTAATCTGCCATTCAGGGGAGATCACTCCCGTGAAAGATTGAAAGACGGGCAGACGTGTTGTTGTTGTTGTCGTCAAGTGTCGGCCGGCGACCGATATCTCCATTTCTGCTCATTTTTCACTTCTGCTGGCGGTTCAAGGTCGTTGCTGGATTGTTCTCTTACACTCGGCCGGTGTAAGCTTACACCTAGCACGTGTCAGCTTACACCTTACACGTGTAAGATCTCACCTACCCCGTGTAAGCGGCTGGGCGGGGGATAAATAATTGAGCAGTGTCTCGGAGCTGTCGCCATTTTGAATATGACGACAAAATAAGTCAGTCGAGGTGGGGGTGGGGGGGGGGGGCGTCCGGGAAGGGGGTAAAGATTGTGGAGGGAAGGGGACCTGTCGGTAAGGTTCAATATCAGCTGAATATTACGATGACAACACAGTTGTCATTGCCTTGTAGTTCAGATAAACTCTACTGTACCTGCCCGTTGAGCGGATGCAAGATGAGACGCCAGTAAAGTTGACAGTAAAGTCGATAATATTTTGTCAATAATATGACGTTAATTAACATGTCATTTTGATGAAGAGATGTTTTTAAATCAACATGATATTTGCATAAACGTGACATTTGAACAATGCTGACATGTGTATGGATGTGACATTGAATGGCATTGACATTTGCATGAATATGTCATTTGCATGAATATGACATTCCTCTGAAATTTCTTCTTAGTTCTAAAACCTGTAAAATAATTT